TGCAAACACATAAATTACGATATATCTGAGGCTGGAAGGAAGGGAAGTGATCAGAGTTGAAACTGCAGAGGTAAATTGCTATACTAAGGACATTGGACTTGATCTTTTGTCCAAAGGGGAGTTTTTTTGGAGAATTTAGCAAGATCTCTTTGGCTGCATTGTGAAGAATGAATTGGGAGTGAAACCCGAAGTAAGGAGACCAATTTAAGAACCTAATGTAGAAACCAGATTCATAGCCTGAGCTCAGATGGTGGCAATGGACAGAGAGACAAGAAGTATTAAGATTCAATAAATATTGAAGTAGAGAGGAGGAAAGAGAAGAAGATACTGAGACGAAGTATCAAAGAACTAAAAGCAATAGGATTTGGAGATTGCTTGGCTGCAGGGTGGGGTAGGATAAGGAATAAAGTAGACGATAAGGATAATACCCAAAAGCTCCATATTAGAAATTGCAAGATTATTAAAATAGGTGACTAGAAGCAGGAATGTACTTGGGATAAAAGATAATTTAACTGTACACATGTAGTATTTGGGAGGCAGTGAGATGTTCCAGTAGGAACATCTGATAGCTGGAGATAGAAATCTGATAATTAAGCAAGTAGTGAGGGTCTTACAGAAATGTCCAGAGTAACAAGAATATAAGGTCCAACCTGAAAAATGACCAAAATTTAAGGAACTGAGAGAGAAATTTGAGATTGTAAGTTCTCAATGCAGCGTTATTAAGAAAATTCTGTAAGGTAGCTCTGGTAAGTGGAAAGATGAAAGGATTTGAAGTGAAATACTTGGGTTCAAATTTTGGCTCTCCTATTTATTCACAATGTGACTTTGATAAAGTTAACCCCTTCTTAGCCAACTGTAAAGTGGGGATAATGATATTGACATTCATTTCATAGGGGTAAGGATAAAAAGAAGTAATAATTGTCAACATTTTATATATAAACTCCTATGTAAATAGTATTATGAGAATAACCTAACCAAAGAGTTACATTTTCTTAGGAGTTTGTTGTAAATAGGGATCCATAAGTAGTTCTGAGAAATACGTTGGGAGAGAAAAGGCAACAATTTTTACAAAGTTCAGAAATCTGGATTTGAATTAAACTTACAACTTATCAGTGTTAATGTTAGAGATACTGAACAAGGAAAATATTCATTCCTACCCTCTTCATGGTGTAAAACAAAACAACGTATTTTATGTGATCATCTTAATAGAATGATGATAAATCATTAAAGAATACTAGGATTTATTATCATATAGAATATTGTGATTTATCATCATAATAAAATGAAAAACATTTATTCATGAGGATGTATGAATGGCTGGGAACTAAAGAAAAAGAGCAATATGACAAACCTAGTCATATGTGTACAATAAGAGTATTTTTCTGAAATAATCATTATTAGACACCTGTACAACCATGAAAACGTTGAGGTCCACACTGACACGTGCATATTTTCTTTTCATCCTCGACAGTGTCTCCCAGAACACACAGAGTTCTAAACTTCACTACATTCCCGGTGAAGACTTCACTACAATGCAGAGCAGATGATGGTCAGGACCAAGGCAGCCCCTGAGGTTTGAATTTGTACATGTCATTAGGGCTTCTTATTTGGAGTTCCAAATCCTCCAAACTGGCATTAGAGTACTCAAACTTGTTTCATAAACACAAGTAAATCCAGCAAAAAAAGCAAAATAACCCTTAGCAGCAAAGCCACTGGATAAATGGCATTTTAAATCATTTTTAGACCCACTAATAGAGATGACTTCAGCTCACTGCTACCTGAAAGCAGTATAAATATTTATAAGGTACTCTACTGAGGTGTTCAAAACATCACACTGCTCCAATAGACTACAATTTCAGGGTAGAGTAAAATGGACAGGATAAAAAATAAATAAACAAAATAAACTTCAGACATCATTTGTCCATTTATGCTGGCTGTTCTAAAATAATATGAGTACTGTTTTCAATTTCTACTTCGGGGTGGAACTTTCACATCACTAAAAATGAAACCACCTCACAAGGTAAGTGGCTAGAATGTTCTTAATCCATCAGGGTGAGACAAAGAGTTGGTCTGCTATAGTTTCCATGAGCCAAGGACTGGAAAGCTAGGATATTTTTTTGCCCCTTATGCTATATTTTGTCTGTCTCTTATCAGACTCCTAGTGAGAAAAAAAGTTTCCATTAGCAGAAAGTCTTCTTTTTAAACTTAAAATCGGTTTTAAAATTTCACAGCTGCCCCCACTATTCTGTACAGCATCATTACAATGGGAATTGTGAAAAGGAGAAATATCCATTGTCCAATGCTATGGTGTTGTGTGCTGAGCAATAAAAGAGAAACAGTATTCTTGAAGGTATAAAGAAAAGTTGAAAGTGCTATTTCCACCAATAAGTACAATTATATGTAGATATCCTTCAGTAAAAATAGAATGAGGAACTTGCCTGTTAACCCAATTAACATGTCCAAATGTTTGTTTTATAGTTGAAAAAATGTTTCCCAAACAATTAAGTAACGCAGGCTTCTGATTGCCCATTTTTCCTATGCCATCTTTATTACTTGAATAACTTTCCTTTTGACCATTCTACTTTGGGCAAATAAAACGAGCCATTTGAAAACCTATTGTGGATGATAATAAACTGTGCTTGCTATTACAGAAGCTGTTCTGAATTCCACCTGAGTGTCCTGGGAAGAAAAAGGACAAGGCGTAGTATAAGGGGGAAAAATCATTTTCAGCATTGAGTTTATTCTCACAAAGGAACTCCTTTCCATTTCTCTTCTGACTGGTAAAACATTATGAAGATGCAGGCTCTGGTGACATTATCCCTCTCTCCTTGAAATATACCCTCTGTGTCTCTCATCTGTCCCTATGTCAAAGCTCCCTAGCATTTGAACCCCTTATTGAGCACCCTCCATGTGCACTGAAGTCAAACTCTCTTGCCCTCTTTTTCAACCCATTTGCAAGGACTTCTGGTTTGCCTCAAGACCTAGCTCTTTTACATTTATAGACAGATACTCTTAATTTTGCACTTTGGATTACTTTGTCCTAGGTATTTTTCTACTACTAGAGAAAACTGGACCTTTTAAGCACAGCACATACATAAATTTCAACACCCATTACTCCTACCTTGCTTGAACACACATACTCCTACCTTGCTTGAACACACACATACATAAATTTCAACACCCATTACTCCTACCTTGCTTGAACACACATATGTATGTATGTATGTATGTATGTATATATTCAGAACCTAATAGTTGGCTCTCATCTTTAATAAAATTTGTGTTGTGGAAATTTTATTCTAAATAATTAATGGATTTATCTTATAGAACATTTACACCTACTATTTTGCTATATATACATTAGCAACACAGTTCTAGACACAGTTGTCCACTGTTATATGAGATTTAATCAAGTTTATTTGGCTTATTAACAAACATACTCTCTTCTTCCACCTCATGGTCTCACCCTTTGTTTTTCCATTCTTTTGTCCTCATCCAAATCTCTAACCTGATCTTTGAGTTACTTCATAATTTTTCCAACTAAATGAAATATGTGTGCTTCTAATTCTTTTAGCCCTTCCATGAACAGTAAACTGAAAAATTCAAAATGCAAAGCAGTATTTTGAGACAAGTAATAAAAATAGAAAGTAGACATATAACTTCAAATCTGATGATGAAAAATTATTGACTGTATATATATATATGTATGTATATATGTAAGTTTGTATGTGTGTATATATATGTATAGCTTAAAGATTTAAGTCTTCCAGATATGAATACTATTAAAAGGGCTTTTGTACTTTTTGTTTACACATCATTATACAGGGGAGGATGACTGCAATTTGGCTTTTCATTTTTCAGAAGACATTTATCAAAACATATTAAAAAATACATAACACACAAAACAGAAAATAGATAAATATTTTAATATATTGTTACCTTCATTTCCATTAGAATACATTCATGGCACTTGAACCTCTAAAATTTCTTTGCTATTCCTTCTATTTACATGTAGCTATTCACCTCTCAGAGGTTAGCAATGTTCAGAATGATCATTAACAACAATAATTTACTTACTGATTTTCCTGAGAATAGGATTAAATATCCACAACTAAATTTATAACTACATTTTGTTGATATTTTATATTTCACTTTGCTATCTGAACATGAAAACCTGGAACTTTATGATGTAATCTTAGAATCTCTAAGTAAATTTGGAGTAAAACCGAACCTCAAGTCATCATACTTCATAATAATCAAGGCACATAATTTTCTATGTACTTATGTAGTTAAAATTTTATTATGTATCTAAATGTCCAATGTAAGTCAATTTTGTCTAAAGACCTGATACCAATAAGCTTTCACCAGTTACTAAGAAAATCATTGTTTATTAGTAAAATAAAGTTTTATCTAAGAAAATTACCATATTTAAGTTAGATTTTAGTATCTAAAATTTTAATTAACAGTATTGGTAAATTAAATTTGTTCTTCTTATCATCACTTATTTTAATTTATTCTACCTACATTTTTAGTAGTAGTTTCTACTTCCTATTAGAGGGAGAGTCCTGCACTAGGCTATATTGTTAAAATTAAGTTTTTAACTATAATTACAACTAATTGTATGAGCAATGGTAAGTTGTAATTGTGTAACTTTCATCGATTAATTAATTGATTCAACTTTAATGGATTAATTAAATTCACCTCTCAGGATTTCTTTTTCCTTATCTATAAGAGAAGGTCACTAAACTACATATATTATCCTTAAGATCTCTTCCAGTTCTAACATAAAATAATAAAGAGCCAAATTATATAAATTTATACATTGATAGACTAACTTTAAAAACAAATTCAAAACAGCCTTATAAAATATGACAGTTGTATATTGTAAAACTGTGAATTACTACAATTTACTTTTCTCTGAATCTTACTGATTCAGTTCTAAGATATACGTATTTTATAGAGGCTTCTTAGGATGTGTTGAAATAAGGCCAAAATCAAAATAATGCATTTGAGTTTAATAAATATAATTAGTAATGATTACATAACTTTTTGCAAATGCAGATAAATCCCTTATCGCAAAATGACATAAAGCCAGTGTTTTTATTGAATATGTAAATCTATCTGGGAAATATTTAACATCTGATCTTTGAAGAGAATTCCTCAACAGATAATTGTACATATTAATTGATTTTAGGTTTAAGGAGGAGGTCCCATACATAGTGGTATGCTCTCATTTAAACTCTCCTTTCATGAAGGCATGGTACTATGATCATCAGCAGATGTGTTAAAGTAGAAAATTCTTAACACTGATCAAAACAGACGAGTGGCAGGACTATAACAGCACCACTGCTAGAACAATGAAACCAGGAGAAAAAAGTGGAATACAATGCGAAGTGAGCAAAAATCAGCTACTGATGGCTGAAAGAACCTTTATGGTAATGAAAAGACTGGAAATGAAGCTTAAAATTCATTAAAATTATTTTGCCTGATTTCTCAAGAATAGAACTTTAGTGATTGGTCTAATGCTTAAAAGAGGCAGTGGAATTTAGGTTTGTTTACATTTTTTGGTTTGTTTACATTTTTAAAATATACTTCTTTACAACATGATTTTTCTTATTAGAAATATGGTTTTGTGAGATAGAATTGTGGAGTACAACCAAAAAAGTGTTTGGAGAGGCTGACTTGGATTTTAACAAAATCTGAGGCAGTCCTGTAATTTATAAAAACACAAGTTCTATGGTTAAGATGGAAAGTACATGTTGAAAATATTTCTGAAACCTAATATGATATTTTGTGTTGTGACATTCCAAAGAGCACTAAATATTTCTAATCTCACTTGACGAATAAGTTATTAGAAATCAATTAATACTCAAAGTCTAGTTATTTGATTTAGAGATTGGGGTTCATTCCAATCCAGTGTTTGATTAACTGATGGGCAATAGCTCGGCTTGGTGGCACAAAAAATGTCTGCTGCTTCCCTTTGGTCAGAACATCCACAACCTAAAATACACCATAATAAAATGTATTAGAATTTTAACACTGTCATACTTAAATACTACTTCTATGCTTTTACAATTTAACTAAAATGTGATGATTTTACAGTGAATAACAACAGTACAAAGTGACAACATCCATGTTCAACATGCAAAATTTAGTATAGTATTTTTAGTTGATTCAATGAGTTAGTGAATCAATTAAAAAAAATATTCCAGAAAGGCATATTCCCTTAACGAAAATAAGGACATGAAAAAGAAAAGTACACACTCCACACTTATTTTCAAAGTGAAGTCAACTTTTGCAACAGGTTCCCTTTATAAAATTCTAAAAAACACTTAATTTCTACTTTTTGAAGTTGAGCATAAAATAAAATAAATTTTGTTTAGGCAAAGTCTGAAAGGATTTCAGGTCTTCACTACTGATAGTGTATCCATTTGTTTTCTATACAAATACTTTAGGTTAAGCAAAACAAACAGTAATTTATCTTTCATTATACTACTGAAGGATGACATTTTAAAAAGTTCTTGTGACTGTATCTTTGCTATATAGTTTAGTTATTCTTGTCCTTAAGCACATTTTAAAATGAACAAGAACTTTTCAAAAATTTTAAGCATTTTTACTATTTTTTGAGAGCTACCTGTTTTAATGCTGTAAACTAAAATACAAAATGTCTAAGAAAAATCTTCCTGTTTCTCATCTTTGAAATAATGTTTACCTATTTTAAGTCCATTGAAAAGTATCATTAATCTGAAGGAATGGCATTTGAAATTAGAAAATGGCACAGAATCATCAACTAGAAGAACCTCACAGAATGAGTTAACATAGGACACATCAATTACATTGTAATCCATGCATGATGGGTGGGCCATATGCATTCATTCAACTTGGTGAAAACATGTATCCTTGTTGCATGCCCAAACTGATACAGTCAGAGAACAATCAATAGAAGAAGGAAATTAAATTGAACTTTACCTGTTCTCTAGTGAACCAACGGGCATCCTCTATTTCATTCTTGTCAACTTTAATTTCTGTAGACACTGCCACAGCTAAGCAACCAATCATTAAGGAGGAGGGCATTGGCCATGGCTGACAAGAGACATACTGAACATGGCCAACTTTGACTCCACTTTCCTCTTCTACTTCTCTCCGAACAGCATCTTCTATTGTCTCTCCTAATCAAATGGGGCAAAAGACAAGTAGCTGATGAACATTCCTTGAACATTTTGTCCTCCGAATGGTTCAAACATTTGGAAATCACTTTGGACAGAAACCCAATTCAAAGAATGAGAAAGCAGAAGCCTAAAACTAGACTGGAATTTAAAAAAAATATTATTTCTTAAAGTATATAACCACAGACATAATCAAAATACCAGAAAACTTTTCTTGAAGGTCCAAATTTTTGCTTACAGTGTAAAAGTGGTAACATCTACAACTATCCAGCACCTGCTATTAGCTAAACACTATGCAAATATTTTAAATATTATCTCATTTATGTATTATCAGTAAATAGTTACAAATTATTCCAAGATTTTTATAAATGGCTAGCCTTTTCCTTACTAAAATTTTGAAATTTTTTATGTTGTCAAACAATTACTGCAGATAACTTTTCTCAAAAAGAGTTAAAACTAAACACTAAAAGCTTAAAAACCACTTAAGATGAAACAGTATTTTTTCTTTCTAAATGATTTTTTTCTTCTAGATGACTATTGACTCAGGTATGATAAAATATAGTGCCTAGAAATGTACTTTTTATTTCTGATTTGTTGGAATTGAGAATCAGAATAAAGGGAATGGTTTGTAAATTTATCTGAAAGTTTAGAAATATTTTACTATTTAAACACAGCTTTTTATTTCAAATAGATTGCTATATTTCCTATATTATAATTAACAACTTATGTTCACCAAAAAATATAGTGGAAAGGTAAGTCATAGACTGGCATTAAGATATTTGCAAGACCACAGCTAAAGAGTAGCATATAATACATTCTACAAAACTCCTGAAATGAGATAAAAGGATAAACAACTAAAACAAAATTAGGCAAAAATATAAACATGTAAAATTCAGAGAAAATGAAAATCGGATGCCTAAAACACATGTGAAAAAGATGCTCCATCAGTAGGGAAATGAAAATGAAAACTACAATGACATTATTTCATAACTATTGCAATAGCAAATTATAAAGTACGAAAATTCTAACTTGGTGAAGATGTGGAACAACAAAACATTTCATGTGCTGTTAGAAATAGTGTAAATTGGTAGGGACACTTCAGAGAGCAACTTGGCAATGTCTACGAAAGGTTAGGATGTTCATATCCTACAAGCTAACAATTCTACTCTCAAGTATATACCCTTGATAACTCTTGCAAACGTGCACAAGGAGTAGTATAAGAATATTCTTTGCAGTGTTGTTTGCAAATGCAAAAGCTGATATAAACTAATTGTCCAACAACAGAATGGATGAATTGAAGAGTATTTATAAATAAAATGGTACACAGCAGTTAAAAAAAACAGCCTAGAGTTATTAGAGACAGCATAGTGATTAAGAGCATGGACTCAGCCAAATTGCCCAGGTTTGTATCCCTGCCCTATCACTGATTAGCTGTTTGATCTTAGGCAAGTGAGTCAGCTCCTGTACCTTAGTGCCCTAGCTGTAAAACTGCTGTAATAGTTACTCTTTAAGTCTGTATGAGGGTCATATGATTGAATATCTGGAAAGCCTTCTAAACAGAGTGTGGCACAAAGTATGTTTAGTACTATTATTATCAGTGCCGATTAATACTGGAAGTTAAGATTAAACATGTTTGTTAATTATCATTTATTCCACAGATATTTACTGAACTCCTACTATATATAAGGCACTGCTCTAAGGGTGTGGGCTACAATGATGAGTGAAATCAAGTCCCACCCCTATGCAACTTACTTTCTGGTATGAGCAGATAATAAATGAGTAGATAGATAAATAGATACATACATACATCAGATAATAAATACAGAGATACATTCATACATACATACATGTCAGGTGGTAATGAGTGCTATAGGGAAAAGTCAGTCAGGATGACAGAATTGTGAATGCAGGGTATGACGCTAACTAATGTATTTGGGGCTATCTGGGAAGACCCCTGGAAAGGTGACACAGTTGGGTCTAGTAAAGAAGGAAGTGAGGTGTAAGTCATGCAGATACTTTGGTAATAGCAATACATGAAAGAGGAAATGCTGAATTTTTAAAACAGACAAAATTATTCTGCTAGTAAAAACAAATATTACATCACTTAAAATACACAGAAAATATTTAAAAATATCCCAGTTTCATAGCATGATAATTTGTCAAATGCTGTCTAAAATTTTTATTTGGACATTACAAGTTAAAGGAAGATTATTATTAAAATTATTAAGAAAAGGCTTACCAGGTTCAATAAATCCAGCAAGGCAAGTAAACATGCCTGGGGGAAATCTTTTCTGCCTGCCTAAAAGACATTTGGTCCCATCTGGATGAATAACTTGCATGATTACTACTGGATCTGTTTTTAAAAAAATCAGATGAATGAATGATAGGAAAAAATAATTTAGACTCATTGTGTAAAGTCACTGTCAAATAGTATAATAAAAAGGTTTATCTCCTGTAACAACAAGACTCTTGTCTAATTATGAGAATATTTCAGGGAAATTGCATAGAATATTGTACGCTAAAGGAAGACCAATTTTGTCTTCTTCTTAATAGCAACACTTATTATATACTTACGGTATGCTAGGCATATATTTTAATTATAAAAAAGTTAGAGTAGGTATTTTTTTAAAGATTTTATTTATTTATTTGACAGAGTGCTTTAAAGAGAGAGAGCACAAGCAGGGGGAGCTGCAAGCAGAGGGAGAAGCAGGCTCCCTGCTGAGCAGACGCTTAATGACTGGGCCACTCAGGCACCCCCAGAGTATATTATGGCATGAAGAAAATACAAATTTTACAATAGTAAATGTGAATTTTTCTCTCCTTTCCAATCCAATCGTGAACAAAAGTTTTTATTTTTTTAAATATTTATTTATTTGACAGAGAGAGAGAGAGAGAGAGAGAGAGACAGTGAGAGAGGGAACACAAGCAGGGGGAGTGGGAGAGGAGAAGCAGGCTTCCTGCCGAGCCTGATGCGGGGCTCAATCCCAGCATGACTCGAGCCGAAGGCAGTCGCTCAACCAACCGAGCCACCCAGGCACCCCCTGAACAAAAGTTTTTAAAAGCTAATGTGGCTCTATGACTAGGTTTAAGCCGTTAAAAAGATACAATTTAAATTAAATAAGTTTGTTTTCCAGAAGTCATTAATGCAGTGAATTCTCCTTACTAGAGCATGATTGAAAACAGGAATCAAATGTAAAAGGCTCCTGTGCAGTGAAACCAGGTGTCACAAAGCCATGCATTTTACTCTCAGGAGACTTCCTCGGGTATTGCTCAGTTTATCTATTATTTTTTCACAAGTTTTAAAGGACTAGGTTCTCAGATTTCCAAACCTACAGAAGACTCCAATGCAGCAATTAGAAGGAGAGAAAGTATAGGCTGACAACAGCAGTGATGTAAAGCTAGGTCCAGGCTGTATTGCTTTGGTGATGCCTTGAACAGGCACTGAACTGTTGGGGTACTTTTTTTTTTTTTTGTCTCTGCACTAAGTGGACCCAGAATGGTAGACTTTTGAAATCATGTATTATGACACATCAAATTCATATTGATTAACTCAGAGTTAAGAAATGGCTAATTAGGGATGCCTGGGTGGCTCAGTCAGTTAAGCATCTGCCTTTGGCTCGGGTCATGATCCCAGGGTCCTGGGATCGAGCCCCGCATCAGGCTCCCTGCTCAGCAGAGAGTCTGCTTCTCCCTCTGCCTGCAGCTCCCCCTGCTTGTGCTCTCTCTCTCTGACAAATAAAACCTTAAAAAAAAAAAAAGGCTAATTATGTACAATGTTCCTTACTTAAAAGTCATGAAACCATATAATACTTTAATACTTATAGTCTTAAGTTATATTAAATATGCTTTTAATAAAAAGGTAAACACCTCAACAACTCAAAACCTTGTCTTCCCAGAATGTCTTATTCTCTAAGATTCCAGATGGCTGAGATTTCACTATAAAGGAAAAGGCTTACCAACTCTTGGATATGATGTATTGTGAACACCATGGAGACTAGGACAGTCTTCTTTTAAGCATACTCTTTTGTAGCCACCTTCTTCAATTTTAGTTGCACTTCCACAGGTTGGGCAGAACTTATATCGACTGTGCCAGGCAAGAACAGATCTTGCTTGAGCTACAACCCCTTTAAGAAAAGCATATAAAGTTTTAATTCTGTGATAAACTGTAAACAAATTAATATCAAAGTAAAATGTTCACAAGTCAAGGCATACACTATATTTTCTGAATAGCAACATAATCAAGAATTTTTGTATTCCTATTTTTATGACGTATATTTCTTTTGAAGTAGAATAATCCAAAGATGACATGAAAATTTGATTTAACTTTAATTTGAACTAATCAAATATAACTCTCATATAAGATAGATGTTAGCACACTTATCTTATATACTATATTAGCTCAGGCTTTTACTACAGGTGATTTTTAAATTTTGGATATACAAGATTCTAGTGTATAGTGATTTTACAAATACTGACTTTACAATAATGATGTTTATAAAAATACACTATGCAGCAGGGCGCCTGGGTGGCTCAGTTTGTTAAGTGACTGCCTTTGGCTCAGGTCATGATCCTGGGGTCCTGGGATGGAGTCCCACATCAGGCTCCTCTGCTCTGCAGGGAGCCTGCTTCTCCCTCTCCCTCTGCCTGCCACTCCTGCTGCTTGTGCTCTCTCTCTCTGTCAAATAAATAAAATCTTAAAAAAAAATACACTATGCAGCCACTTCCTGATTTAGACTTGGACTATAAAGAAAATATTAATAGGAAACTGCAGGAATTCTCCTTTCCTGGGTGCCTAAACCACTACTGCTCCATGTCACTGTGAAACATATCCTGTTTACAACTGGAAACTGCATAGAATATTAATAAAATACTATATTTATAACATTCATGTTAACTTTGTTCATGAAAAAAATGCCTACTAGAATAAATCTTACAACATATATATACTTTGGCTATAGCCTTTACCCTGGTACGTCAAAAAAGAATATGGCCTGACCACAAATGTTATAATTGAAGCAATAAAACTAGAAATGTTACATATGCATTTGCCTGACAAACTTGTTCTCATTAAAATACATTATTTGGTTTAAGGATTTTTGAAAAAAAAACAAAATAACCACAAACAACAATAACAATGTTTTAAACTGGAAGAAACAAAATAAACCATACATAAAAACAAATTAATACTGAAATTCAACAAACCATAGGCAACATTAAATATTTCCCTGCTATGTTACCTTGTAATACGTAATTTATGCTATCTACATTATTTCAATATTGTTTCAATAAGAAAGTTAATATTTATTGAGTACCAACTATGTGTGAAGCATCATGCAAATAGCTTTATATGTATCATCTTATTATTTATTTAGTTATGAAGAACAAAACAGGTATATTTCTATTGAACTACCTGATACAACAGTGTGGTATGGATGGATAGTATGAATGACAGATAATACAATATATTTTATGTGAAATAAATAAAAATATTTACATAGCTCATCTTATTTAATGTTTAGAGCAATCCTATGATGTAGGTACTATTATTACCCTCTGTTTCTAGAGTAGGAAACTGAGGCACAAAGAGGTTAACTGTGGAAGTTTACACAGCAAGGGAATAAAAGGGCCTCAGTTTTCTTACTAGTAAAAAGAGAGATCCTTTTGATTTTAAAATTATAGCTACAAAGAAAATATATTTTCTTAAAAAGTGCAATGTTTTCTCCATAGATGTGGAGAATAAAACATACCAATCCAGACTCTGGGAAGAGATAATCTAATCATTCTCTGGAGGGGCGCACCACACATCTCCTAAGGGAAGGTGGACATTGACAAGGGACCCCTTCCTTACCTCCCATTAACTTTCAGTCTACCATAATTTAGCTTATATTCCTTCCACTCCATTGATACCCCTCTTGTCAAATTCATCAACAGCTTCATGTTACCAAAACGAAAGATCCTTAAAAAAAATCTTTGTCTATCTTACTCAAAGTCTCAACAGCATTCAATATATGTAATGTAATGTAATGAAGGAGGGTAATCAGAGGGGGAGACGAACCATGAGAGACGATGGACTCTGAGAAACAAACTGAGGGTTCTGGAGGGAAGGGGGTGGGGGGATGGGTTAGCCTGGTGATGGGTATTAAAGAGGGCACATACTGAATGGAGCACTGGGTGTTACACGCAAACAATGAATCATGGAACACTACATCAAAAACTAATGATGTAATGTATGGTGATTAACGTAACGTAATAAAAAAAAAAAGAAATACTCTGCTCTCTTGATTTTCATGAGCATATTCTCCTGTTTTCCTCTTACCTTATGGCCACCTTGATGGCTCCTCTTTTTCTACCTGACCTCAAAATTTAGGAGGATTCAGGTATGATTCTGAGGCTTTCTTTCTTGCTTGCTCTTAACTCTCTAAGTTTCCTGAGATTTAACTATCACCTTCACGTTGATGACTCCCACATGGGTATCTCTAACTCACACCTCTCCTCTGTTCCAGATTCTAATATCCTTCTCTAAAACTTGAACATGCCCAAAACTAAAATCTTGATTTATTTACTTCAAGTCTGTCTTGCTTCCCTTGCTCAACCTGTCACCCTATTTTATCAAGAAATAGTATCACTATCCACCAAATTACTAAAGTCTCAAACCTAGCAATCATTCTTGATCTTTTCTTTCATCATTATATACCCCATACCCAATCCATCAACAAGTGCTGATGATTTTCTAAAAATATACCTTGAATGTACCCTTTTCTCCATCTCTACCATTGTCACCTTAGTGCAGGCTGTACTCCAGGTTACTATCATCTCTCCCTCACTTATAATAGTCTCAACCTACTGATCAAGCCCTGTCAGTTTTACCTCCAGAACATCTCAAACTCTCCCTTTTTCTCCATCAACTCAATCCACTGCAACCTTTTACCTGACCTACTGTAATCTCAAATCCCCTCTTAAGACTTCTGATTTCATACTTAATTACCTAGAATTCATGATCTACAAAGCAGGCAGAGTGACGGTTTTTGTTTCTTTTTAAACCATAGGTCAGGTTACAACATTTAAATGGAATTTAGAATAAAACCATGGCATATAGGGCCCCACATTAACTAGCATACCCTGCAACAGAAAATAGTCAAGGTCTTTGACATCATGCTCAGTGTATTGCAGGCACTCAATAATTACTCACTGAAGAATCAAATAAAACAAGCATGCATTAGGATTAATTCTGGGGAAACTAATCTTGGCTGATTAAAACTGCTGTAACTGCTCAGGAGAGTAGTCCCCTAGAATGAGAACTTTAGGAAAGTTCTAATGAAGACAGCCTAATTTCATTGCTTACTGAAAAAAGTGTGCCTCCTAGAAAATGAAGATATGCTGTATAACTCCAACCCAGTTCCAAAAACCAGATTACCACCAACAGGTAATTATTACCAACAGGTAAACCATGTTCACTTCTTACCAGCTTCTTTTTCTTTCAATTGCAGAAGAGCAGGTATTGGAGGATGAAGAAAATAACAATTTTCATGTCTTTGCTTAAATTCTTCGGCAGCAACAGGATCTATATCTAGAGCAAACCAGGCAACCAACCCATCTTCTTCTTCTCTTGGGACTTCTCCAGTATAATTGAAAGACTCTTTCTTCATTTCAAGTTCTACTCCAAGAAAAATCAAGGTGATCTTTTCACGCTGAGCCAAATAATTTTTTATATCTGTGTAGTTCAGCTGACAAAGCCTGACTTCTGGCTGTTGGAAACTTTCTTTATTGCCACCTAGAGTAACTAAAGGATTTAAATCTGAGAAAAGGATATAAACTGTGGCTGGATGGCTTTCTTTAGCTAGTAGCCAGTCAGAATTATTTCTTTTTTCACTTTTTCGGTCTAACAGTGTTTTGCTAAAATAATTTTCACATTCTTCCACTTCATTAGTTAGGAACCAAGGCTTCACCCCACCTTTAGCATTAGCTAGTAAGTTAGCTATATGCTTATAACCCCAAAATTTAGCAATATCCAGTGCAGTCTGCCTTGATTTATTGACAATGGATCTGTCACACCTATAGATGGAAAGAAAAATAAAATAGGAAATAAACATTTTCTTTAATATTTATTACAATAAAATATTTCCAGATGCACTTGATAGCCCCTCTAATGATTATTATGTAGATTTTTTTAGTACATAATTTACTAATGGGAAGGTTAAAAGAAATAATCATAAATGATGAAAAGTTAGAGATAGCAGATATTTAACATTTCTGGAGAATTGTAAAATAAAAAACAGTAAGTTTGTGTTATAAAAAGAAATTAAAATTTTACAAGGGGTTCTTGATAGTTATAGTGGGTAGATCTACATTTTCTATTTGGGAGAAAAAGATTAGACTAACTCATATATTTGCTTTGCTATTAAGTATGAAGGATTTATCCCTCAATAAAAGAAGTTAAAAGCTTTTAGTTAGATACTATGCTATGATTTTATAAAATGAACCTGGTCAATGAGTTATTTACAAGCCCAATGATATAAATATGACTACAAGAAAAATTTAAAAGGAAATATGTAACCCAGAAATTAAACCAGAGCCCTTCAAGAAGTAGTGCCTAAAATGTTTACCCTTTCTCAAGTAGAAATTGGACAACATCTGGGTGCCCATTCCTTGCAGCATACATTAAAGCAGTCCAGCCATTTTCAGAAGTTTCATTGAGAAGAGATGGAGAATGACTGAGGATTACTGTTAGCCTGGCAATATCTCCTTCTGCAGCTGAATAGTGAAGCTGGGAAATTATTTCTTGCTTTGGGCTTCTTTTTATAGAAGACATTTCTTCCTTAAAAAGAGGAAAATAGAAAAAAAAGCCCTCATTTTCAATTGCCCTTTGTTCAATGGTGGAACATTATCTGAATACAGATGTAATTAGGAGAGTTATAGTTTTTAAAGCTATATACTCTTCAAAAGGTAATTAGTACTCAACTGTCATCACAGCATACCTTTAAAAATTGTCTTAAACATAATTTAAATTTTAAATATAATTCACCATGGGATGTATAACATAATGTATAAAGAGCTTTGGTAATAAAGATGGGGGGGCATATCCTTGAGAACGGGTGTCAGGTAACACACATTACAAAGAGGAGATATCTGAAGTAGACCGGAGGGATTTCACTATAGATCAGGGAAATGAGGGGAGTTAAAGCAGGCAGAAGTCAAGTCAGAGGTTTTTTAGCAGATGACTAGTATTCTCTTAGATTCTATGGTACCAGAGACAGGTGCCTGCCCTTAGGAAAATTATGATCCTTTCAGCTGACTATTCAAAACTTGTGTTAAGTTTCACATGAAAGCAATTTATTGCTTTCCAATGCACAATTAATTCTACAATTCATCTGGGATTGATTTTTGTTCATAGTGTGAAGTAGGGGCAAGATACATTTTTATCCCAGTGGAAAATCAATATGACTTGGCACCATTCTTGAAATTACCATTTGTCCCATTGCACTGCAGTTATCATCTTTGTCATAAATCAGATGACCATATATTTTGGATCTATTATTGAATATAGTTCATTTGGTCACTTTGTCAAAATTTGAATCCAAGAAGCTTTTTAAAACCATTACTTTGTCTGCTTTGTTACTCGCTTGTTTCAGTAAGGAAAAAATATAGAAAATATGTTTCATACCTCTTCATAAACGTCTCAATGTGGATTGAAAGTGGTAGGGCACAAACTGAGCTATTCTTTGTGGAAATGGTTCATGCTTAAGTTGTCTATGAGAATAAAGTATTTTTTTAAGGCATGAATTTTTGTTTACTGAAATGTTATTTAAGAATTGATTTGGGATTCTAACTAGGTTTCTATTATTCTAAGCAATAAGATATTTAGGCTAAAAAAGAAAGGTTATAATCCATACATTTTGACTGCTCTTGTCTTTCGTATTCTCACACTGCAATTTGGCTGATCAATTATATAGTAGAGGGAGTATGAACAAAATTTAGGGAAAAATGGGCTGAAAAAATTGTTCACCTTTCCTGATTTTATCTTTCTGCTACTTATATAAAGGTCAAATGTGACTATACACAAAAGGGGAGGCAGGTGGGGGCATGGGTGAAATAGGTGATGGGGATTTAAGAGTATACACAGGATGAGCACTCAATAGTGTGTAGAATTGAATCACAATATTGTACACCTGAAACTAATATAACACTGTTCATTAACTATACTGGGATTAAAATAAAAGGGTTAAAAAAACTACTCACAGGAATGGTGAAAATATGTTTATAATTTAAATTAGGGGGAGTGACTTCTATATTAGAAAACTATTTCTTTACTGTAGAATTTACTTCACTTTTCTGTTCATATTGAGATTTCTAAATGCTTTACAAATATTATCAATTACAAAACTACAACTTTTCAGGACTTGATTTTGAATCATTGTTGTATATTGACTCATGTATAGTATCCCTCCCTTCCAAGTTGCCTTTCCCTTGAATTGATTTTCCACAAAATATCACACTGATTCTTCAGGTAGGTTTACTTTAAGCAGTATTTTACTGTCTCATGTTCTGAGGTCATAGTCATTTCTTCACCACAGGCCACTCCACAGGACAAAGTGCAAAACTGTCCTCCAAAAATAAAGTACTGTTCACTACCTCCAGTGCAATTCTTATGCATACAGTATTCTCAGGAGAAAGGCAGTGTAAAATGTGTACTTTCTCCCTTAGCTTTTTTTTTTTTTTGGCAGCATAGCCATCTAGAAACAACCATTTCTCATTACAGAGAATCACACAAAATCTGCAATCCAGCTCTACTGCTGGATTTACTTTTTCATTTCTCATTGACAGGTTTTCCACAAGGTAAGAATCTGAAGGCAGGATGAGGTGATTCACTTAGCAAAATGCTGCCCCTGCTTTCCAAAAGGAACAGAGACCATTCTGAGAGGTCCTTTAACCAAACCACATTTTACCGATGTGTACTGGGGGCCCATGACTTGCTCAAGGTCACATGGTTCAAGAGACAGCGCAGAGTTCCAAATACGGCTGTCAGTGAAGTCGCTGACCATTATTTAACGAATTCCATGTCCCTTGGGATTCGAGGTGGCCATTTAACAAGTCAAGCGCCACTTACGCAAGGTCTCTCCAAACATTTAAATGCCTTGAGATCGTTTACTTTCTTGTCACTACTGTGAGACTCCTTCTTTTAAACGTGAATCTAAACGGTGAAGCACCCTTCGTTTTCCCCACCTCAAAGACTGGGCTCTAAAGGCCACCAGGAGCCCATCGGCTGCGCCCCCTCCCCTCTCCGGGGAGCCAGGGCTACCAGCCCACAGCTCCCGCCCCTGCACCCTCACCGCATCCGGAGGCTGCGCCAAACAACCCAGCATGGCCAGGCCAACAGCGCTGAGATCAAAAACACTGAGAACTGGTCACCCAACCCAGGGAGGGCACGGGGCCGACTAACTAGTCGTTGCTGTTACTAACCCAAAAGTGACCAGAGTAGAGAAAAGCAGGATATAGCCGCAAGACCCGGAAAACCCCACTTTCACTCTTCCCGGCGCCGGATTCAGCCTTCCTGACTTCCGGCGGAGGTTCGCTGTCCTCGAACGTTTCTATGGGAAATGTAGTTTGATTGTCATAAATTGTGTGCGATCCGTGAAGGGGCGGGGCTTGGGGGGGCGCGGGGAGGCGATGGCGTTCGGGAACCTTGGCGGGAGGTCCAGGCTGTGAGGTCCAGCATCTTGGCGGTGAGTGAAAGACTGGTTTTCCTTCCCGGTCATACCGAGACGTGTGAAGTGTGGTGAGGCCGCGGAAAACTGTTGGTCTGTGGAAGCGGTTTTTAAGTTTCCAGTATTTCACACCCAGTCCGCTAACCTTCTCTGTTGTATGGTCCGATGCAGTGGCATGTTCAAAGCATTCTTTCACCTGGGATATTGGCTGGGCCAACTACAGTGCGTGACCCTAAAACATTTGTGCACCTCTAAACCTAAACTCGTCATGTGCAAAATGGTACCATGTATTGATGCCTCCTTCATTTAATCGTCCTTTAAAAAGTATATATCAAGTGCCCACAACACCTCCTTGGGTTATGCGGTTAAAAGAGGATAATGCATTCAAAGCTCTTATGAAGTTTAGAACTTAGAGTTAGTACTCACAACACAATTATTATTCGTGCTGTTATTCCACTTCCTGTGCTTTCAAATTCCAAAATCTAAAGTTACATGAGTCCGAGATTACAAAGCTAGGTGTTGGTAGTCTCCTAGACCAGGGCTTTTTTTCTTTACCAAACTGCCACCTTGGCAATCAGCAAGTTGAGTCAGCTAAGGCTGACCATTGCTTCCTGACTGAATTTGAGAATTTGGAAGCTTTTTCTTCTTACAGTGAAGTTACGTATACTTGCCGGCATTGTGCTTTCATTACTGCTTTTTTATTTTTAATTTATTTTTATTTTTTAGGTTGTTTGTTTTATTTATTTTTTAGTAATCTCTACACCCAGTGTAGGGCTTGAACTCACTACCCCAAGATCAAGAGTTGCATGCTCTTCTGACTGAGCCTGCCAGGCACCCCATTATTACTGCTTTTTAAAACTTTGTCCTATGCTTCTTTCTGTGAGTAGTTATTTTAGTCTCTATTGATTTCAAGGATCAGACAGGAGATCAGAAGTACTAAGTTTTGGTAACTCACTTGAAATACGCAATCTTTGTATGCAAACATATATTAAATAGATTAGTATAAGGGACACTCATATATTAATCATCTAGCATAAACAATTACAAATATATAGTCATCCCAGTCCTTTGGATTCTTGTGAAGTAAATACCAGACACCATATTATTTTATTGATAAATATTTAAGGGTAAGCTTTTCGGAATTATGAATATATATCTAAAATGTAAAATGTCTCTTAAAAAGAACATAACTATAATATCATTAGTACAATTAAAATTTTAATAATTCTGTAATATCATGAAAGACTCATTCAATGTCAAATATAATTGTCTCAAATTTTGTTTTATATATTTTACAGTTGATTTGCTTAAATCAGTCCTAAACAAAGTTTCCACATTACATTTGAAGTTTTTAGATCTATAGGTTGCCCTATAATTTTTTCTTGCAATTTATTTGTTTAAGAATAATGATTATCTGCTCTGTAGAGTTTCCCATATTCTGAATTTTATAAATTGTATTCCTACAGTGTCTTTTTGCCTGTATTTCCTATAATCAGGCAATATGATGCCCCCAGCTTTGTTTTTCTTTTTCAACATTTCCTTGGCGATTCGGGGTCTTTCCTGATTCCATACAAATTTTAGGATTGTTTGTTCCAGCACTTTGAAAAATGTCATTGGAATTTTGATTGGGATGGCATTGAAGGTATAGATTCCTTTGGGTAGCATAGACGTTTTAATAATATTTATTCTTCCAATCCATGAGCATGGATGTTTTTCCATCTTTTTGTGTCTTCTTCAGTTACTTTCATGAGTGTTCTGTAGTTCCTAGAGTATAGATCCTTTACCTCTTTGGTTAGGTTTATTCTGAGGTATTTTATGGTTTTGGTGCTATTGTAAATGGGATCATTTCTCTAATTTCTCTTTCTATAGTTGCATTGTTAGTGTGTAAGAAAGCAACTGATTTCTGTGCATTGATTTTGTATCTTGCCACATTACTGAATTGCTGTATGAGGGGGTGGAGTATTTTGGATTTTCCACATAAAGTATCATGTCATCTGCGAAGAGAGAGAGTTTGACTTCTTCTTTGTCAATTTGAATACCTTTTATTTCTTTTTGTTGTCTGATTGCTGTCGCTAGGATTTCTGGTACTATGTTGAACAGTAGTGGCGAGAGTGGGAATCCTTGTCGTTTTCCTGATCTTAAGGGAAAGGCTCTCAGCTTTCCCCCGTTGAGGGTGATATTCACTGTAGGGTTTTTCATAGATGGATTTTATGAACTTGAGGAATGTTCCCTCTATCCCTATACGCTGAAGAGTTTTAATCAGGAAAGGATGCTGTATTTTGTCAAATGCTTTTTCTGCGTCAATTGAGAGGACCATATGGTTCTCCCTCCTCTTATTAATGTGTTCTATCACATTGATTGATTTGTGAATGCTGAACCACCCTTGCATCCTGGGGATAAATTCTGCTTGGTTGTGGTGGATGATCCTTTTAATGTATTGTTGGATCCTATTAGCTAGGATTTTGTTGAGGATTTTGGAGTCCATATTCATCAAGGATATTGCTCTGAAATTCTCCTTTTTGATGGTGTTTTTGCCTGGTTTGGGGATTAAGGTAATGCTGGCCTCATAGAATGAGTCTGGAAGCTTTCCTTCTGTTTCTATTTTTTGAAATAGCTTCAGGAGAACAGGTATTATTTCTTCTTTGAATATTTGGTAGAATTCCCCAGGGAATCCATCAGGCCCTGGACTCTTGTTTTTTGGGAGGTTTTTGATCACTGCTTCAATCTCATTTCTGGTTATTGGCCTATTCATGTTGTCAATTTCTTCCTGTTTCAGTCTCGGGAGTTTATAGGTTTCCAGGAAGGCATCCATTTCATCCAGGTTGCTCACTTTATTGGCATATAGTTGTTGATAATAATTTCTAATAATTGTTTCTATTTCCTTGGTGTTTGTTGTGATCTCTCCCCTTTCATTCATAATTTTATTAATTTGGGTCCGTTTTTCTTTTGGATAAGTTTGGCCAGTGGTTTATAGAACTTATTAATTCTTTCAAAGAACCAGCTTCTAGTTTTGTTGATCTGATTGTGTTTCTGGTTTTTTCTAATTCAGAAATTAGCTTTCTTTTGAGGTCTGTTGGTATGGAAGATGGATCTCCATCCCTTCACTTTTAGTCTGGATGTATCCTTAGGTTCAAAATGAGTCTCTTGTAGACAGCATATGTATGGGTCCTGTCTTTTTATCCCATCTTCAACCCTGTGCCATTTTATGGGAGCATTTAGGCTGCTCACGTTGAGAGTGATTATTGAAAGATATGAATTTATTGTCAACATGTTGCCTGTGAAGACCTTGTTTTTATAGATTGTTCCTGTAAATTTCTGTTCTATATCACTCTTGGGGTCTTTCTCCTTTTATAGACCCCCCCTTAATATTTCTTGTAGGGCCAGCTTGATGGTCACATATTCTTTTCGTTTTTCCCGGTCTTGGAAGCTCTGCATCTCTCCATCCATTTTAAATGACAGCCTTGCCGGACAAAATATTCTTGGCTGCATGTTCTTCTCGTTAATACACTGAATATGTCTTGCCAACCCTTTCTGGCTTGCCAGGTCTCTGTGGATAGGTCTGACGTTATTCTGATATTCCTCCCTCTGTACGTAAGGAATCTCTTCCCCCAACTGCCCTTAAGATGGTTTCCTTGGTTCTAAGATTTACAAGTTTTACTATTACATGCTGGGGGGTTGGCCTCTTTTCCTTGATCTTGGGAGGGGTCCTCTCTGTCTCTAAGACACGAATATTTGTTTCATAATCCAGATTAGGGAAGTTCTCAGCTACGATTTGCTCAAATATATCTTCTAGTCCTCTATCTCTCTCCACCCCTCAGGGATCCCAATAATTCTGACATTGGAACGTTTCATGGTGTCACTTATTTCTCTGATTCTATTTTCATGGATTCTGAGTTGTTTTTCCCTGGCCTCCTTTTTTCCCCTTCTTGTTTATCAATTGGTCTTCTAGGTCACTAATTCATTCTTCTGCCTCGCTTACCCTAGCTGTTAGATTATCTAGATTAGATTGGATCTCATTGATAGCATTTTTAAATTCTGCCAATTCAGCTTTCATTTCTGCCCTTAGAGACTCTATGTTGCCATTAATCGATTTCTCCACTCTCGCTATTGTCTTCACAATTGCTACCCTGAATTCCATCTCTGACATCTTGGTTATATCTGTATCCATTTGTAAATCTGTGGCATAAGTAATAACCTCTAAGTCTTTCCTATTTGGGGGGTTCCCTCCTCCTAGTCATTCTGTTGAGGGGTGGTTGAGGGAATGTATAGAGTCCAAATTATTGACCACAACCCAACCAAGATGCACCTGTTTTCTAGGGACCTTAGGGTTGCTGGCCTCTTTTATTCCCAGCCTGTCTTCTGGGGGAGGGGCCTGCCAGTCTGTTACTCAGACAACGCTGTTTGGGGAGAGTTTCCCTGCCCCCTGTGCTGGGGGATGGGCTCAGTGAAAACCGGTTTTTTGGGGCTTTTGTTCTCTGGTGGCTTTCCCTGGTGGCTTTCCACATCTCTTCCGAGAGTCAGAGCAGAAGAGATCGTTTCCAACCCTCTGCCTCAGAGCAGAGAGATTGCAGTCTCTTCTTCAGTGAGCTCTCCAGGCCACACTATCTCCATTTCTGTCTGTGCTGCTATGAACTGCAGCGTCCTGCGTTGTGCACCCCTCAGCAGCGCTCGCAGTCCTTGCCTCCAGGTCTGGGCACATCTCTGCCCTTTGTGCTTCCAAAACCGCCAGCCACCCCCAGTTCACACGTGTGGCCCTGCCGTTACAGGTTTCCGTCGGGGGGGCTGCCCTGAAGTCCTTTCCTACCGCTACCGATCTGCGAGTCTGTGCTCTTTCCCCAGCATGGGAGGCTATCACTCACCAGGAGTGT